TACCTCGACTTATAGCTTACAAATGCTTTAAGAAGGCCACTGATTACCACAACATACACCCAGGTTTAGCAATTAAAGGTAGTTTTTTTTCTTTGAAAACCTAGTACCCATCATAGAGCACAAATGATGATGTTCTCACCTAGATGTGACAATCTTTTTTGGAGATGCTTGAATTTCCTCCGATTTGTATTTTCAGGTCATATTTCCATACAATACTATACTCACAAGCATGCAAAGTCTCTATGTTTTGTCGGACCCATTTTTTGATGCAATATGAAGTGAGCTTAATGATAACGACCGTTAACAGAGGATCTATGGTTAAATTTTGATAGCCTTGCTAGCTCTTGTAAATACGCATGATGACATCAGTAAAAGAGCAGGATGATACATACAAGTTCTAGTGAGTGGCGTCGAGGTGACTTGTGATCCATCCGATTTCCCTGGTACGTTAGAGCTTAATAAATCAAATGATCCGACAGTAAATAAGAAATCCGCAGTTAGGAGAGCTGGATAACAAATATTTTTTGTTGCAGTTTACATGTAACATCCCAAGCAACAGCTCGAGATGCGATTGTTATTGTGTCAACTAGCCCACCATATTGGATGTGAGAGCGAGAGGACTGGACCAAGTCGAGGAGTCACGCAACCTTCACTGAGTTTGAGTAACGCTGGTTTGTCGAACACCACTTGCGGTAATCACAGGAATTTGCCAACTGTGGAAGAGGTTCATAATACGAAGGCTTAGGATTAGCACTATCTATAAATTCCACGTCATAAAATTGGGACAATGACTGTAGTTGACTAAGTTTTTGCTATTGCAACAACGGCCTTGGCTAATCTTCCCTTAGCAGAAAGCTCGCGAAAGTTGAAATCTTCATACAAGAGAGAATTGGAAAACAACCAATCTATTTTTGAAACATGTGTCCTAAACCCTTCTCATAGGAAAAAAAATAATGGAAATATCTTTTGGACGGGAAGTTGAGAGGAGACAGCGTGGCCGAGTGGTCAGCGTGTCGGACTCGTAGTCCATCGCTCCGGGGCTTGCGTCCCACCCTGACCACTACCTGGATTTGTTTCACGGTAGCTCCAAGTTCAAATATTCGGCGATGCTTGTAAATAGCCTACTGGTTTGCTCCGGCCAGTTGGGATTCTTTATAATGTTATGTTCAGTTTGAATTATTTGTTTCAGTTGTTTGCTCACCCCCGCTAGCACTTGTGCTATAAACACTGCTGAGGGTAAATAAAGGTATTATTTATTTATATTATTTATCTATTAGGACCGCTCTTAGCAAGAGTTGCAGTTGAAAAGCCATCTGCTACATTTATGCCCGTGTATGAGTCCCTTCTTATATTTTGAATTACCTGTACTTGTAGCTTTGGCATCACCCGGTCTTCCTCTCGTCCCGGACGCACCCGACCCCTTGTACTTGTGTTTTAACCAAGCAGTCATGTAAATGTCGCGATACAACAAAGGAGTCATTCCTGTTTCGTGCAGAGCCCATGACACGGCACTGCACTGATCATTTACTCCTCTAAAAGAACAAAGTACCATCGTAAAATTCTCTTGAAACTTATCGCTGCACTTTTATTACTTGATAGGACATAAACAGTTACGCTTGAATTGGGGGAGGGGTGGAGACTAGGTCCAGTCCTAATACTCTTTACGTCCTAAATGGCGGGTCCTATTGGCATCATCTCATGTCGTGAGAAATATTTCATTTAAGCAGCAAAAATAGTATTTTGTCATCCAGCTCTTCTTACTGTGGATTCCCTCTTTGTTGGATGGTTCCATTTATTCAGTTCCATGGTACCTAAGATCTCTGGTGGATCACAAGTCACCTGGACGGTGCTCACCGCGTCACGTAATCTTATGTATGCATGGTCATGCTCGCTTAGTGATGGGTATTTGCGAGAGCTATTCAGCCTATTAAAAGCTCAGACGTGGATGATCTCTTAACGATCGTTTTATTCTTATCTTAATGGTTAAGGCCGAGTTAACATCACTTTATTTTCAAGTAAAAAACGGCCTGACAAAATATAGAGACTTTGCATGCTCGGAGTATGATAGGTATGGAAATATGGCCCACCAAACGTAGATCAGAGAAAATTCAAGCATCTTTAGAAAATATTGTTAATCTAGGCAAGAACATCGTCATTTGTGCTGTATGATGGGTACGAGGTTTTCATTTATTACTTTACTTTATTTTGCTAAACTGCTAAGTGTTTGTAGTGCTAATCAGAGGCCTTCTTAGAGCCTCTGTAAGCTAAGAATCGAGGTATTTCTAGATAATGACCCTTATTTGGCTTTAATGTTTCATTTTCACTCACCTAATACAAAATAAAGTTTTTATGTCAAGAATTTGGTCTGTTTATAGCATGAATTACGCTCAAAACTCCATTTTGCTTGACCTTAGTGGGGCATGGAGTTTGTGCCAAAACCTAACAAACCTACACAAGCCAAATTTTTCTCGACTGATTTTGATAAATGCGTCATTTAAGTACATACTGGATTTGATATGAAATTTATGCAAGAAGGCAGGTGAGTGTTATGGTTTTTGAAAAATGGCAATTTCGGGTAATGATTCTGACCTCAAATTTGACCAAACTTTAGCCCCAGGCCCCTCTCTGTCTAATCACTCGAGAACAAAGTTACATTTATGAAGTAAAAGCTCCACTATAGTAGAATCCATGATCAAATTCGTTTATTAAAAATTCGTTTAGCACCACAATTTGCCAGTGGAGTTTTATCGTACTATCACAATGCCATCTAGAAGGATGAATTATATTTTTGGTGCTCCAGTGACAGGCCACATATGGGACCTTCCTTGTACCTCCAGAACAAACCGTCAGAGAAGTGAGCCAAGGAGGACTTTGAAATATCTTAATACACTCAACTTTTGTGCCAAGTTTCAGTCGAATCGGTTGACAACCATTTTTGGCCCCTGGAACACTTTCTCAGACTGGGACATTTAAAACTAAAATTTAGGATCATTGTATACATATTTAACTAAAGTTTTTTTGAAAAACAAAAGGTTCTTTATTTCAGTCTTTTGAAAAGTGACCTGTCAATTACTGTAATGATTAAAAGATTGCTTCCACTGGTGATAATGGCTTTATTAACGTCCTTGGATTTAATGATTTAATGGATTTTGGATTTAATGGCTTAATGATAACGTCCTTGGATTTAATGATTTAAACGCTAAGGTGAAGTTGATTTTAACTCGTTCATCTGTCGGTGAGACTTGGCAGAAACGTTTAAATCGGCGTTACTGGTAAATACGTTTTCAATTATTCTCTACTTCAGTTTGCCAAGAAGGAAAATACAACGACCAGAATAGCTTTAATTGCACTGGTAAGGACACCCAAGCCTACGGTGGCCCAAGCCTACGGTGGCCCAAGCCTACCGTGTTTGATTTTGTGGTCGAAAGATCATTTACGGGAATACCTAACATATTAAAATTGAGTTTTAAGCCTAAAAAATTATCACTTTTATTATCCTTTTCATTTTTTCTATTGTTTAAACTATTTTTGACAGCACACTCTTATGCTCAAAATTCAATCTTTTAATGTTAGGTATTCCTGTTTATGACCTTTAGACCCTAAAAACACACACAGTGCGCTTAGGCCGCCTGTGATGTTATAAGATGTTATACGATGCTGTAAGCCTGTACAATGAATGCATGGATCAGTAACTAACCCTTTTGCTAAATGAGCAATTGCTAAACAGAAAATTACATAAACCACTTTCGTAAAATTGAAGCACCCCCAAAATAACAAATGTTTTGGAATGTTTGCGCAAAACTTGTTCAAACCGACCTACATCGGGTGATACATGTAAGATGTTGAAATATTTCAAGAAAAGATGTATTAATGAATGCGCTGCCGCTTTCTGCAGTTGCCGGCCAATATTTATGCTTGATTGCTTACTTCACCATAGCAGACAAATAGAAAGTAAAGACATCGTTTGTTAAAAAGTTTTTGATCCCCTCATCACATCTTCTAATAAGTAGCCAAGTGTTTTATGACCTCGACTGCCGTAGGCCGTTTGAAAGTGGAAGTGAAAACAAGTCAGTTGCTAAAGCTTGGGGTGACGTAATTTTCAGACCGAGAAAGGACAGCTTGAATATTACTCGCGTTACTATTGGAAATATAATTCCATTTGTAAACTACACCATGAAAATCTACGCTAGGAACCGGATGAGCGATTTGGCGAAAAGAAATATGAAATTGAGGCAACCTTACAGAAATAACAGTGTAAGGACTAACAGATCAGGTCACTGAATTCGTGGACTGAATAGAAAAACACACAAATATCTATTGATATGCTTGTCTTTACCGCATTGTGCACGGGTCGAGTCACACGAGAGTATACGTTTTAGAACTGCTTTTCAAGTAATTTTGGTTAAACCTTAACCTTAAATCTCTGTACCAGGAGGCACAGAGGGCTTGGACGTCTCTCCTCCACTGTGTTTGGTCTGCAGCTGCATGGCGTACAGCACTCCGTGTTTTACAGCTTGCGCCGTTTCTTTCCTTTTCCACCATTCGCCGCCATGTTGTTTTCGGTCGGTCTCTTTTCCTTCTTCCCTCTGGTGTCCAACCAAGGACCACAGCACAGTCGTCGTTCCTCTCCTTCCTCATTATGTGCCCAATCCAGTTCCATCTCCGTCTCCTCACCTCCTCGCTGATCTTTCCTGCTTCTGCCATCTCGAGAAGTGTCTTACTGGAGACATGCTGTTGCCATCGGATCTTGAAAGTTCTCCTTAGACACTGATCTGGAAGGTGTCGAGCTTCTCTTCCTCTCCTTTAGTCATTTTCCAAGTCTCGCATCCGTAGAGTAGGACGGACAAAACAAGTCTCTTGAAAAGGGAAGCTTTGATCTTTCCGCTTATGTCGCTGGATTGCCAGATGTTTGATAGCCGCTTCATCTGTGTACTGGCCAAGGCTACTCTCTTCTTGACGTCAGCTGTGCCTCCACCGTCCTTTGTCACATTTGAACCCAGTTATGTGAAGCTCTCCACCTCCTCCAGTTCACTTCCTCCAACCCTCAGCTTATCATCATTCTTGCTGCTGGCTTTCATGACATTACACTTCTTGGTATTCAGCTTCAGTCCAACTTTGGCTGCATTGTCTTCAAGTTTTGTTGTTTTGTTCTGAAAGTGGTTCATTGCTGAGGATAGGAGGGCGAGGTCATTTGCGAAGTCTAGGTCCTCCACCACGGTTGTAAAGTTCCATCGAATCCCGGTTCTCTTGCGCTCTACGGTTTTTCGCATGACCCAGTTAATCACTAGCAGGAATAGGAATCCAGCCATGCAGCAGCCCTGCTTCACTCCGATTATTACTGTCAACCAGTTTGTTCCATTTTGGTTTAAAACTTAGTATGAATATGAGGTTTAATACCATCGTCCTAAATTTCGGATTTTCTCAACTAGCAATTCAATCATTTAGTCACGATACAGCAGCAGGAGTTGCTGAGGCAATAAAGGGTGAATCAGTTCTTTGTCCCTAGGACCCATTTGAGTAATGGCCGGAAAAACTTATAAATTTCAGGTGGATAGAATAGTTTACTCAAGTTCAAATTAGATTTTTAAATATTGTTAAAAGAAGCAGCTGGAATGCAAGTTAGAAAAGGAAAATTATATCATCGCCTTGAGCGATACAACGTACTCGTCTAAAATTCAGTTAAGTTTAGTTCGTACAAAAATGGAGTTCGTTTAAGATTTGGCTGGTTAACGTCGAACTACGGTCAGTAGTACTAGAGCTAAGATAATTTAAAAAGTTCCTGAAACTCAAGGTTTTTTCATCTTAAAGTGTTTTGATGCAGTAATGACACTCCCCAGGTGTAGAGTAAACGATAGTGAAAAACACAACGGCAGAAAAAGAAGGTCCGTCGAGTACAATTCCTATTCTTCTTCCGACATTTACTTGCAGTAACAAAAAAAAACATAGATCTGTAATATAAGTTTAGCTTAAACTGCCGGTGGTTTCAATTGGACGAGATTTTTCTTCCTTTCCTCCACAGGAAAGACTCCTCCAGTTTCTTCGCTCTTGACGAAAAAACCTCTTAGAAGACTTTGCGATTTCTTCTCCTCGGGTATTTTCCATAAACGACTTTGTTAGGGGTCTTACGGGTGTGAAAACGTCCACAGTAAGAGGTTAGTTTGTACATAGTTCATATTCCAAGCTACCCATAAGGCTGACATACTTGCTAGGCTACAGCGACACCAACCAAACCTGGTTGAAGACCACTTCAAGTAGGCTTTTTAACGAGGCTATTTTTTTATTTCATGATTAAAATGAGAGTGGCAGCCTAGACAATGGTTAATTGGTTAGGATCAAAAAGTAGATTGAAAGACAAACTTTTTATACGGCGTAACCGTAAAGTAGTTTCTGGTCTGATTTAATCAGCCTTACTGTCACAGTAATAGCTGAAATATTCCTCCTCTTCACCTGATATCACCCAATGTGATCATGTATCTCAAAACAATCTATGGATTATTACTCCTCTCTGGTTTTGGCATTCCTTGACTTTCCTCTCCCTCTTGGAGTGGAGGGGGGAGAGGGTACGAGTAGGAATAGTTTATGCACTGTCATAGCTTTCGGTTCGACTTTGTTGAGCTGCGTCCTTGCTTTACTTTGCGACGGCGATTAGCAGTGAAAAAAAAATTATTTATAATATTATTATAGCTGGGTATGTTTCAGATATGAATATCATAACAAAGTCTAGGGATGTTTCCTAGCTCAGTAGGATTGACTTGCTTATCCTCATCTCGATATCATTTAGTTAAGTCTTGTTAGACACATTTCATCTTTATCTGATCTCTTTTACAGACCTATGTTAACTTGCAAGTCTACCACAGTAAGAACTATGTTAGTGATGGACATGGAAAACTGTTCAATTTCTTTCAATTAAGACTGGAGGATAGAAGTCCAATCCGAGAACAAAAAGCTCATTTAAGACTTTACCTCTTCCCAATGCAAGTAGAAGTGAAAGGGAGGATTTCCTTTATGTTTGCGATGTAGAAAGGTTTTTTTTTGGAAATATTTGTTGATAGCGTTTGTATCTGAAAGTACATTCTTTGAACTTTTTTACGGAGAAAACCGTTTGAAAGGCGAAAAATAAGACCTCAAAGTCTAGATTTAAAATTCGACAGAACTCTTAATTTTGACAAAGCTTTGGCAAAGCTTTTACTCCGAGTACAGGTTGTAATGCTGCAAATGTACAGTATATAATTGCTTTTAGTTCAATTAAACACGTTTGAACAATTTTTGTTGAAGTAGTGTTTTTGTTCGTTAGATCAGTACAACTGTTATATCGATACGTCTTCTTCCATCTTCAGATATAACCTGTAATTTTTTGCAACTTGACCAGATATAGGCATGGGTGAGTTTTTAAAACTCGGTTACATTCCCTTTTTTCAGGATACTGCCTGGAATAACAGCCTTGTAATGAACAAGTGAATAAATTCCAGAGAGCCCTTCTGCTAAAACGAAATATTTCACAATGACATAATTCTCGACCGCAATAAATTGTAGCCCTTAATTGATCGAGTTTTGGGAAGAACAGCCTTCAAAGAGGCCAAAATTCGAGTGGCTTTGCTCCACAATTAAACAACTTCTGGGTGATCATAATGTATTTTTTTTCAAGTATTTCCCCAATGTTTGCTGTTTTTCTGTCATTTTTAAATTGGAACTTAAACACTTACTTTTTTCGGTAATTGCTTCCTTTGATGTAAAGATTAGAAGAGGAAGGAGGGTGGAGAGGGAGAGTAGGAATAGTTCAGACATTTCATTCACTGTCGTTATATTTACGACATTGTGTTTTATTGTGCTCTAAGAAGAGTAGTGAAAGGTACCATACCATACTATTGGGTTGATACCTAATAAAGATTTTCTACCGAATCCTTCTCTCAGTTTAAGAGTAAGGTACTCCTTAACATGTTTCATCTGTATCTAATTTCTTCTACAGATCTGTGTGAGCTTGGAAATCTACGATGGCAAGAATTATATTAACTTAGATATTATGACGTACAAGTAATGATGAAAACTGTTCAATATATTTCGATTAACCGTAGAGGATAGAGGTCCAATCCAACGAAACATACCTCATTAAAGAGTTATTGTCCTTTCTACGCAAGAAGAAGTAAATGTAAAAACTATCAGTTAATGCTTACGGTAGACAGTGATTCGTTTAGGAAATTTTTGTTAGTAGCGTTTATATCAAAAAGTAAATTCCATGTTATTTTTAGCAAGAGAAGACCGTTTTAGCGAAAAAATAGAACCCTAAAGTTTGACTGAAAACTTAATATGGTTATAGAATCTCTTATCTTCAGAAAGATTCGTCAATAGCTGTATTCCAGCTAGTGTTGAGGAAACAATAGTAGATTGAAGCTTGAAGCTCAATGAAGAATATTTCAATTTTTTGGCAGATGTACAACGGCTGATCTGTAGGAGAGATCCTTTGCACGCATGCCACACCGGCGTCAATTGTTTCCCAGACTCGTGCGTTTAATCCCGAGGTCCCAAGTGTCTAATAAACTTGGCATTTGAGTTACAGCTCTATGGCATTCGTTACAGTTCTGTGGCATGCGTGAGAAGATCCCTCCCGAATACGTTTGCTGAGGTGCGTCACATGTAGGGGAGATCCTTTGCACGCATGGCACACCGGCGTCAGTTGTTTCCCAGAGTCGTGCGTTTAATCCCGAAGTCTCAAGGGTCTAATAAACCAGGGATTTGAGTTACAGCTCTGTGACATGCGTTACAGATCTGTGGCATGCGTGAGAAGATGCCTCCCAGATACGTTTGCTGAGGTGCGTCACATGTAGGGGAGATTCTTTGCACGCATACCACACCGGCTTCAATTGTTTCCCAGAGTCGTGCGTTTAATCTCGAGGTCCCAAGGGACTTAAAAACCCGGGATTTGAGATAGAGCTCTGTGGCATGAATGAAAATTGCAACAGATCTAGAGTTTTGAATCATACAGTCGGTCTTTGTTTCGAAGTATCAGTTTAAAGTTGCTTTTAAAGGCAACGAAAAACATCTCATTTTAAACTTTAATTTTGCTATATTTAGAACCATTGCCTGAGGTTTAGCCGGATGATGCTGTTCATGATGTCAAACGAACATGTCCCAAACTGAACAAAATTTTTTTTGTGTCCGTAAATGGACCCATCATTTTAAGAGAAGGAAGTCCTTCTATAAAGGTCCCAAGAAACAGTAGTCTCTACCCCTTCCTCGGCAAAAAAAAAAACAAACAAACAAACAAACAAAAACTATCCGCACCTTCGTCCTCAGCACATTGATTGTTACCCTGCTCAGTATCGACTTATTTCACCATCGCAATCTCCTCTGAAACGAAGTGCGTGAAACTCAAAAAAGAGTGAGGCATATTTAACTACACGAGTCTTGTCATGGTTTTGAGATAACACCTGTATAGGGCTTTAAAGATTCTCCTAAACTTTAGAGTTGTAAAACTTCTCAGGCAGGTCAATCTGTAAAATTGGTAACCATGCTATTTATCGTAAGCCCAAAACAACGCAAGCTGCCCGCCTTTCCTTTCCACCTTTCTAAACATCTCGGCCGAAAAAAACTCGGATCAATGTTACTATAAGTAGTGTCGGACAACATGGCGACCGACATGGCGACCGATATGTCGATCGACATATCGGTTGACAGTCGGTCGACAGTCGGTCGATAGTCAGTCGACAGTCGGTCGACAGTCGGTCGATAGTCGGTCGACATGTCGGTCGATATATGACCGACACTTGGCCGACACTCGGTCGACACTTGGCCGATGCTTCACCAATACTTCACTGACACTTAATCATATACCTGAAAGTTTATGCCTTCAAATCAAATTTTTCTTCAGATCAAATTTTTCAATACCGACACTGCAACAATACACAACCACACGAGCGACGTTCAAACTATATTTACCGATAAAGTTCAGACACTTGACCGATAAACTACCGACACTCGGCCGGCAGACCACTGACACTTGACCGATATTCCAGCGACACTTGACCGATATTCCACCGAGACGCGGAAAGGCATTTATAGATCATGCTAGCATAAGTTTTGGCATAATTCGAGCAAACTGGCATAATTTCTGCCAAGTGGCAATGTTAGCATAATTTGCGCATTTTGATAATTATCAGATCATTTTTGATGCCATTNACTTATTTTAAGACCATGAGTATTGGTCCGGCCGGGGCTCGAACCCTCGACCTCCCGCACAATACAATCCTGGCGCTCTAACCAATTGAGCTAACCGGGAGGTGGTTTTTATTTATATTTTTACTAAGATTGGAAA